AAAAAAAAAAATAATATTAATAAATAAAATGGAATAAAATAAAAACAATCACGCAAACTCTATTGACTAATTGGTTCGTTGTCTGAGAACAAAACCGGTCAACGGTCATCTCGCGGACAACGACTAAACCAGTCCACTAAACCTACAATTTAAATCGCATATTCCGATGGTTTTCGGAATATAAAGGGCGTGTTTATCTCCTAAACGTACAGTTGGCCTTGCTCATTTGTTAATTGAGGTATCCTTGGGTCTTTCTTACCCAAAGCATCAGGTAGGTTGTGTGTCAATTTTTTTCCCTGTGGCGCAGCCAAGCAGGTCTATAGATCGAGAATTCAACCTTTTTCTATTCTGCAAACCGAGGCCATTCACGCCGCAAGTTTTAGTTTAATAAGTCCGATGCAAAGAAAATGAAATCTGTCTAACATTGAGTCCGCTCTCCATTAGATTCGTACAGGTTAGGGTTGGCGTGACGCAAGTGGGTTCTAGGACAGGGTTTGCCCTTACAAATCAGAGGACACCGGACACTGCTCTACAAGAGACAATATTCCGAACGTGGCGCCGATTCTTATATCATTTCATTTTCATATCTTCATAGGAGCACGCTCATTGTAAAAGCTTCGGCTCTTAAACTCCGACTAGCCTCTCGGGAGGCTGGCGTAGATAAATATTAGTGTCCTCTCCCTTTTATTACTTCTTTCAATAATGGAATGCGGATTTAGAATTACTCTCTTCTTTCGGCAGGACGGGAGTTATTGTGCGCTTCTTTTTCTTAGGGCGGCAAATAAACAGTATCAGTCTTGTGAAGCCGAACTCGATGAATTCAACTAAAGTTAGCAGGCTGAAGCCCATGAAAAGCCCAAACTGACCTCCCAGGTCACCTGAAAACAGATAATTTAAAAATATTACATACATATTTGTCTGCTGTGAGTGCCCGCGTGTGTACCCGTGTTGTGTAATTCGTTTTCAGAGACCGCGTTTGTGTGTGCGTGTTTATACCTTTGCATGTGTTTTTACGCACACTTGTGTGTATGTTTGTCTAAGTGCTTGAACGTGTTGAAATGCATGTTTAAATATATTTGTGAAAATTCAGTATTCTGATCAATTCAGCGTAATAGAATAACCGTGTGACTAAGTGACGATGAATTTTTAATGTTCGATAGAGGCCGTGCCACCATACGGATTGATACTGTGTGTGGTCCGTCAAGTGGGCCCTAGTCATTAAAAGCAATTTCGATACCTACCAGTAAAGTGACACACGCGAACAACAAAGAGTGAAAGCCAAATCGATTTTCAGACTTTCCTGTGTAACATAACGTTATATCGTTAGCTCATATCAACGAGCTTGCTATTCTTTCCCGTGACTTTGAACGTACCCAAAGGATCCATTGTTATCGGGAATAAAAATCACAAAAAACTTTTTTGTGTTTGTATGGAACTCTGCTTGACAATCGACCGTGGGATATCGTTGCCCAGCACAATACACAGGGTATAGAACAAATGTATGACCATATAATGAGTAAATATGTTATTATGCCCACGGGATCCGTTTACCGGACAATAAACAGCGTTACGGGCATTAATTCAACAGTGTTTAAGAATATGTGTTCATGCCATTAAACTGTCAATAATATGGAATAAGTTACCGATATAATTGTCCAAATTTTCTTATCACTTACAACTTTACTTACAACTTTACTCAAACAAAAAAAAAAAAACTGAGCTTATGTTCTGTGAATGGCCACCTCTATAATTTAATGGAAAGTTGGTTTTGGGCCCAAATGAATAAAGACAAATTATTATATTTTTAAAAAAATATCATGTATATATATATCTATATAGAACTTACTTATCAAACCCGATGACTCGATGGCCGGCAATTGTTCGCTAATTACGTAATTTAAGTCTTGGAAGAAAATATCCAGCACGAGAATGTTTTTCCTGAAATGAGAAAAATTTGCTCATAATCATCAAACTTATTTGCACTTCCATCTGCAGTATGCTTTTTTTGTGTGTGTGAATTACTGAAAGCTTTTGTCAGTTGGAAGGCTTTCCCAAGTTTGAGAGATAGGCAACTCAAATGCATGATAATTTCGTTTCAAATGCGGTGTCTTAAACAACATAATTTCTCTTTTATAAAGGTATTGATTTTTCTAAAAGCTGCTGAGTTTTTTTTGTTCAACATTTTAGCCGTATACATGTACTTACTCGATATCTGACTGTGCTACGCCGTATTCCATTGCCACCTCAGGTGCAGTTTCATCGCTGGGAAGCTTGGCGTAGGAGAGATAGGTCTCGTAATTCACGCTCTGACACGGGATTTTGCAGGGGCACATGTGCGTAAAATTCTTCTTAATTTCCACTGGAATGAAACAATTATGACTGCATTATTTTTTGGAGATTTAAAAGTTTTGTAACAATGCAATTTAATGGAAGGCTATTGCTTCGGGAATCACTTGAACACTAGTTACTGAGAAGAAGGACAAGGCATATGTATGCAGTGGCGGATTTNAAAAAATACTAAAACCGCACCTTCTTTTAATATATGGTCTTACACTTGACCTGTTTATCCGTCCCTTACAGTTCGTAATAAATGAAACGAAACTCTGTGTCTTTTCTTCAGGGTACATTATTTGAAACTGTTTGGTGGTACCTGTATGTGGTCGGGTTAAATGGTGATGATTTGCTTGTCTACTGGCATAATGCGCATATTTACTGTTACATTTTAATGTAGAGAGCTACAGCATCGAGGTTGCGTGCGAACAGAAGACAGCAGCACCACGGTGTCCCTCTAACCATGTCATCCATATTGTGGACGCTTTGTATGGCCGGACCAACAATTTGACGTGTAAGCACACTGCTATGTCCAACACAGGCTGCAACGCCAGCAATTCCTACAGCGTTGTGTCTGAAGCATGCGAAGGTCAGCAGTCCTGTTCTGTGGTAGCAAGTAGGTCAACATTCGATCAGGATCCTTGTGAAGGAACCTTCAAGTACCTACAGATTAACTATAGTTGTCAAGGTAAACAGGCATGTTGGTAAACCCGACCAGTGGCGTATTTAAGGGTGTTGTCAGGGGGGTCCTGATCCCCCCCCCCTTCCATTTCTAAAAAAAAATCACACCAATGGTCCCCTCTTGAAGTTATAATTTTGACTTGCTGATTCATAGTTTTAAATCGTACCAAATGGCACCGTTCGCCCTCTAAATAATTTTTTTCGGGGCCCCTTTTTCCGCGGACCCCCTCTTCAAATAATCCTGAATCCGCCCCTGCATGTATGTGTTTACTAGCTGGACAACAGGGTCACACTGTCTTTATGGTCAAGCTCTTTTATTTTTAAATGTTACTTAGTCGTCAAATTTTCTCTGTGACACAAAACAAAGCAAAATGATACAGGATATTTTCTGTTGAAAATCGAGAAAACGGACCTTAAATCCGGTATTTCAACAATGACAATATCAGATTTATTGGACTCAAATGCACCCCAAACCAATTAGAGATAATGCTAAACCTTACAAACACTACGATGTGACACCGTAATTTATCATTGGTCATCTGAGAATTGAAAATGGAGAAAAAACAGCATATCTGATACTAATGACCTGCTCAGCATGGTCAACTTTCAAGATGATAGATGGCTGCCACATAAAATCATGCTTCACCCCCGAAATTACTAGAATTCTACGTCGATATACGACACATGATAAGGCATTTGAATTATTACTTACAAATATGAATATTGACACGTGTCTTTTATGATAAATTTCCTCAAATTCAAAATTCTTATATATAAAACATGCTCCCGCGACAGTGATTGATTTGTTTTCATCACAAAACAACCTTGTTTGTCCTTGCCTTCCTTCACCCTTCCCGCCTCCTTTTCCTCCCTTCTGAATAACTGAGACTGCCCAATATTTCTTCCTCTTCGAGCACGTGTTGATATGGACGTTATTGTATCAACAAAATTTGGGTTAAATATTAATGTACTTAGCAAACAAGCCCGTAGGCGGCGGGGAGAGGGAAGGCTGGGGGGAGGCTATTGCGAAATACCCTTTAGGACAGGAAAAGGATTCTCTGTGCACTAAAATTTGATCTTGGTTCCGTGCTGTTATGGTAAAGAAGTTCCCCATTTCAGAAAAATACCCCCCCACACACACACACACACACTTCGAAATTGCTTGCTATTGGTCTGCCGAAGGAGACCACGTCACAAAGTTTAGCTGTGCTAATGTAGTCACCCAATCTAATTGCACAATGCTTTTAAAAAAACTTGCTATTTTTAAATAGAAAAAAAAAAGAAATTAAAAATGTAAATTTCTTCGAATTAATCATCTAAATAAAAACGTTTACCAGTGTTGTTTGTACATTGGTTTAATCATAAACTAACCTACTATATTTTTGACGAAATGCAGTGGTATAAAAACTGGGTGATACGCAGATATCAATATTTCATCTGGAAAAATTCTTCTGACCTTAAAACTCAATTCTTGTCCAGCTATTTTTATCTCAAAATTTGAATGAAAACAAATACCGTATATGGAATTTTTTAACTGGAGGCCTATTCATACTAAATTTCCATTCATCGTTTCCACTACCCCACCACCTCTGCCAACATCTGTTAGTAATTTCTACTACGTGCTTTTGTTTGAAAGAATAAGAATACATTAAAGAAAAAAACTAATTTTACTTACGTAAAATTGGTTTCACACACTCTACTATCTGCTTAGGGGAACACACTTCACCTGGGCCTGGAAAACGCCAAATTTAGATAACAACATCATAATGCTTGACACCGAGTTAACGGAAGGGCAAATTACCCTAACGACACTTGCCACATTAGCTTGTGTCGTGTCATATATTGTGTGCCGTAACTAGGACGTCACGTGATCAGACATCAGGCTGTCCTTTGAGTCCTGCAAATTATTTAATATTTACAGAGAATAAAAAAAGTTTCAATAATAGGTTCTTCTTCATTTTGTTTGATAACATTTAGAAGGAATACTGAACCCTAACAGAAAATAATCTTAATTCAGAGTCGACTTTACGATAATCCATGTTGCTGCCAATGATTTTTTAAAGATAAAATATAGCAGGAATTCAAAAGTTGTGTATGATTCTAATACATAATTGTAAACACGAAAAATGTTTCTTGTAAACTAGATCACACACAGCATAAGGTGTAAAAAATTAAAAGAACAGAAGAGAAAAAATTAATCTTCGATAACTTCTATAACTTTTTTGTTGTTTGAAATAAAAGGTTATAGAAAGTTTTCACTTAAAAAGTAACTCAAATCCCGTTTACATGTCATAGGATTTAAAAATTCCTATTTTCGTTTAGGGCATCTTGTGCTGAGAGCCTTTTAAATACACTTCAAAGAATGAAATAAATTTTTGAGCAAAAAAAAAAAAATACATACATACATACACACACTGAAGAAAAATCAGAAATTTACCTGGATAGTTGAGTAATTTGCATGTACAGTTGCCCATCATGTGGTCCAGTTTACACTCCTGGACACACGCGGACATCGTATACACCGAGTAGTATTTCAGAGGCGAGGCTCTGTCACATATCCCATATGGCGGCTCCATCTCTGCGGACTGAAGTACAAGAGAGAAAGATCCCTATGACAACAACCTTGGGAATGAGGGACAAAGACACCCCCCACCCCCCGAGACCCTGCATTTCCACCCCAGGTCGATGGTTTGAAAGATGTTCACAAACTGACAGACGATTGGAGGGCACCGTTTCTGCAAAATGCTGCTTACTTTTGAGCGAACGAAAAAAGTATAGTAAGTCATCCAAAGAAGAAATCTACTAAGCAAATGCGAGTTGTTACAGCTGAAAACTTATTCAAACACAAAATTCTTTTCCTATGCGCGTTTTCCTATTTTTTTTTATGGTTATCTTATTTATTTAATTCGCCCATGTTTGTTAATTAATTTATTTATCTCATTTTATTATACAAATTGAGACAGCGGTTATTCAGTTATTTTGACATAATTACATACATCTGTCCGTTTCACCCCGGCGTAGGCGTGGAAGCCAGGAGGGACGGCCAGACTCTTGGTCTCCATCATTGGGGGCTCAGACTGGTTGTGCACCTGGAACAACAGGCCCACCTCTATAGGGTCGCCCCTCTCCATTTTGTTGGTGTACTCACTCTGAAAGCATACGAAAAAAGATGATGCAAGCGACAGCTGTCTGTCGCACAGGTAGTTTTACATGTAGTAGTATAGGGACATTGTTTTTTACCAGCTGGACTTCAGAAATTATGTATATTTGATTTTTGGCACTAGTGTTTGCTCCAAAAGGTCACGGAATGACACGAAGAAATGAAATGGAAGCGCATAAATTGAAGATTCGGCAATTTTCAGGACAATGTGATAAGAGAATTCAGGCCGTGTAGTCCCCAGGACTAGAAAATATTGGAAATGTAATTTTTCTATATGTGTAGTTCATTAACCCAGGCTTTCAGATATATCAGCCTCTTAATTTGAAGCGGGCGTGTAAGGAAATTTGAAAATGGTGTGTGTGTGTGTGTGTGTGTGTGTGTGTGTGTGGTGGTGGTAGGGGGAGCCTGGAAGGTGAGTCAGAAATCCTTTAAAAAAAATCACATATGACTTTAATAGAAACACAGTCAGACCTCTCCTCACAGACTAGATCCAAACCGCTACTATCGAAAATGAAAGGAATAAAAAACTGACATAAGTGGAAGGGAGCAGCTCAATAACTGATCTCCCCTTACACTTACCTGTTCGATATTGACGATTAATTTCAACCCGTTCCCAATGCCGGGCTGATCTTGAAACACGCGTGGCTTTGAGTTGGGCACGGCATTGAAGGTGTAACATAATCCGTATTCCGTCAACACGGGGGTGAAGGACTGTAAAAGTTAGAAATCAATACTGAATTAGGTACACGGCTATCATTTCAAATATGCAGTGATAGAGGTAGCGGTTTTGGTAATCATTTATACGTCTCATTTCATAACCGCGTGTCGTTCATTTTGATCCTAATAAGTTGGCCCTTGGCGTGCAGAGGTCTTTGACACTGCCTGTCCCCAGAGAGGGAGGGGCATGTATTAAATTACATTGCATTACATTATACATGTTTTTATTGTCTAGACTATAACATGGCAGGAATATGTTACAGTGAACGAGTTTCTGTGAGTCACTTATTTGTTCTATTTGTTATATACTAGGTTATTACATTAAGATGTCATAAACCCGGCGTTGCCACAGTGACCACAGAGGAAGGTCGAGAACGAACCCTAGGATGTGCTTGTTTTGAATAAAGATGCGTTTTGTTGTCGGGACCCAAATGGCGCTTATACTAAAGTCACTTTAAATCCGTAGATTTATTAATTTATTATTTTTTAAATTATTTATTCATTTATGCATTTATATCTCACTGCGCGCAGATATCTCTGATATAATATTGAAGCACATTCCAATGTAATGAATTCATATATCGGAGCAAGCTGCGTACTCACCTTAGATATGTTGCATTTTACTCCTTTGAATTCACAGTGTATATTGGTGTCTGTCAATTGCCACCCCTTCTCCTTAGTAAAGTTGGCGAAATCAAAGCCTCCCGGGTACCACAGGCTAATATTGGCCATCAAGTCATCTATGTTAACACTGCCGGTATTCCCGCTAGGTGCAGCAGGTGGAACTCCATATGCGGCGTCTCCGCTTCCTCCGTAGTCGTAATAAGAGTAGTCTTCGTAGCTGTACGGATTGTACGCATAGTCGTACGGGTTCAGCATTGACGTCGCTTGGTCCAGAAAGTCGATGTCCGTTTGGTCCAGCTGCGACTTCAGGTACCTTGAAGGTTGAAAAAAATGTCTCAAGTCCTTATTTTTATTTAATGACAAATTTTTATTTGGTATATTTACTGGGGAGTAGATATATATCTCCAACAAAATGATAATTAATAAATTCTAAAATTCTGGAGTGATTTTTGATTTTTTTCTTTTAAAGCCTTTCGAAATGTAGATGTACCTCTGTAAATAAATTGAACATTCAGCCGAGAGAATTATTTATTGCGACTGACATATGATAGACAGGGGCGAATTGAAGCCGTCTTCTGGGTCTTCTGGAAGACGGTCAGATTTTCAAGTTTACATTGACGGGTATCTAATTTTATCTGTCAGAAGACGGTCAAAATAGAGGATGGATCAACAAAGAAAATTTGGAAGACGGTCAGAAAATAGCTCTGGCTCCACCCCTGATATATGGCCTATCACTCAATAACTTTATATAATAGCGCCTGAGATTTTTTCATGTATGGTTATTCTAACCAGTATACGCGAACACACACACACATACACACACACACACACACACACACATACAATCAACAGAGGGTCACTTATTCTCAAACTTATAACTTTGCCCCTTACTCCCTAAAGCTCTGCGACCGTTGTATTTCGATGAAAGAGCCCTCTTCATTTATTTTAAATACATGTTTGCCTAGCTTCGTGAATCATTTGTGCCCCCCCCCCAACAAAATCCTCTGCCACCAGGCACTCACGTACGCACTCACCCAACACACGCATTTTAACACACAAACACTCACACGCATTTAAACGCACACTCACGCACGCACACACATTCACAAACCCATTTAAACACACATGCACATGCATTCAAACGCCTTTACACACACACACACACTACCACAAACGCACACACATTCAAACGCACACATTATAAACACACATTCACATACATTCACACAAACACACACACACACACACGTCCCCCTCACATGTTATTGTGGTGTTATTGTACAAAACGAGAGCCCTTGTACTATATGGTGTCATTGTTGCAATTAATACATGCTGTATTCATCGCTACAGCCCATTACGTCATTTTAAGCTGTCCTTTGTCCACCGAAGTTCTTAGCCTGCTTTTGAATCTCAGCATCCAAGAGTAAGCACAACAACAAGAATAATGTTGGCTTAGCTCAAAAATGTTGACCCCTCTCTGAATCTCGTCAATGATTTAAATTATTTACTATGAATTGGGTATGGTAAATGGCTAAGAATTCCAAATTCACACCTACTAAAACTTACTTGTTCACGTTGCAAATTGTTACTGCAGGAAACTGAAGGGTCTTCGAAAACGTCATAGTGATCTTTGTTGTAGTGTCGTACTTGTAATACGCTATGAAACGCATAGTGATCTGCCAGGTTGCTACGCCGAATCCAGTGAGAATTAACAAAACCCAAATAACTCGACTTAAGGTGTACTTATTGTCAGCAACCCGGGCAAAGCCGTGAGCGGAGGTGTTGGTGGCGAATTCATACTCCGGTGTGTGTTCCTCCTCCGTGGTCGCCTCGGTGCCCATATTTCGCTACCGGCCCCTCGCCTAAGGACGAAGAAAAATAACGAATTATTCCTTGCCTAATCCAAAGTTGTCACACGACTTGTCTGAACTCTAGGGACTTGACCCAGTGACGCCCTGTTAAATGTTTCAGTAAAGGGTGGATTTAACCGCGCCGTCCTTGGCATCAACTAGCATTGAACTCCACATCGTATGGTCACAGGTACGTCACTACGCCCGTGCTGCCAGAGTTGTCCAACGGTATGGTGTCAATAGTGTTTATATAAACCGGCTGTGAGAGAAGGGGTTATGTGAAGAGTTATGTGAATTGGCAGTGACAAAAAAACCAATGAAGCGTCCAGACGAAAGCTATAGGGGCGTGTTCAATACCCTTCGATTATTTTTGTAGTTACGTGCGACCATAACATTGTTATAACGCCTGGAACAAAACAGATTATGTATTGATCACCATATTGATATCCTATACATAAATATCAGTTTAATATATGTTTATATATATCTTTATACCTATTACTATTTCTTCTTCTTTTTTTTGGGGGGGGGTGGGCGGGGGCGGGGTGAAGGGGGTTCGTAATGAATGCCTAAAAGCAACTTTAGTCTACTTATTTCCTCTTTGCGCTCATTTTCAGTAGCACTTTTAGAATTGCAAGATTTAACATCGCTATATTAATCATATTTCAAATCTATTATATATGAGTTCGATAAAATCTTCAATACGTTATAGATTATCGAGAAAAATTTCCGTCGGATTACAGAAAAGAAAAGGTTCATTGTTTTCTCAAAAACCAATTACGTCCCTAAACCAATGTTATTATGATACTTACAGGTTATATTTTAGCGTGAACGGCAGTGCTTGATCTTCTAGAGAAATTAAATTTATGTTTCACGTATCTGCATGATTTAACTTGCTATATATGAATGTGGCCGAATACCAATTACAGTCAGCTGCACAATGAACTTGGAGGCGGTCTGTGCTTCTTGTATCATTCTGAATTTCGATCAACTTTGTGACTCCTCCCGAAATTACTCCTACAAATTGTGTACATGCTGCGCCCAGTATCAGAAATCACAAGAAAATTGATGACTTTCATAAATAATTGACACAGAAACGCCTTGACGCTCACTGCTGTAGTGTAACGATATCACGCGCCGATGTTTACCAGACAAACTTGAGACGGACCTCTTGAAACAATGGCCAACTCATACATACAAATGTAATCGATGAGCGGAAACACTCTACTAATGACCGATGTCTGATATAGCCATTAGACTATCACAGCCAATTAATGGTATCGAAAATATTGTGATGAAGATCGGGGGAGGAGTAAACAATCCACTTGACAACTTTGGGAACCGATCTCACCACGTGAAACAACTTTGTTTTAAACGTAAACGCCATTGCTACAGTTTATATACCTACTTCCAATCCGAGGTCGTGCATCATACATGTACATGTAACTGCGTAAAATTGAACTGTGCTTTATTTTTGTTCTGAAACTTTATTGAAATTAACTTCATTGTTTAAATATTGTTGATACATTTATTTCTTTGCTCCATAAAGGACCCGAGACTGGGGCCATCCCAGCTGCATTTGCTTTCTTCTGCGTGCGATGAAGTCATATCGATTCAAGTGAACGTATTCTTCTGATGGAAATTCATCTGTGTAGATAAGTCATTAGGTTTCACTTTTTACGCTGTAACACACGCTGGGGAAGGTCGTGAAGTAACCGAAAACTTTGTTTAGATATAGCTTAATGTTTAGTGTAGAAAAGTTTAAACCTCATGAATGAACGTATTCTTGTTCTCTCTCGTAAGATTTCACAAGAGGATTTTTTCAAGCCAATGTGATATTGATATCACACACTTCTGTCGCACTTGGAGCAAATCCATCAATTTCAGTTGAACTGCCTTTAAAAGGGCTCTTGCATTTTTCACTTAGGTCAGGTGTACGTTTACTTTTTCAAAAGACTTGGGTTTATTTACATCGAATTGCAAATAATTTATGCCAACATGATGGTTATCTCACCAAATATTGATTTACGTCGTGTAAAAAAGAAGTCTAGTGGGTAAACTTGACCGTTACTCTTAAAACGCTGCATGCACCGGCATTTACTACTAATGCGCACCATTTGTTACGGTAAGGCATGTTTGTCCTTCTCTTCCATCCCCCTCCCCTAAATTTTAGGCAAAGGCATAGTTTGCTCCGTTGTTTTTCTTTCAAGCGTAGGTTATAAGTTTAAAAACACCCGAAGCGAACAATTGCCACGAAATCATCTTTAGTAAGGATATTGATCAATTTCAGATACTTTTTCCTTAAAGCCCAGTATCAATTTTGTCGCGTTTTTTCATTCAAATCGCTGAAAATAAACATGATTTTTGCATCATTAAAAGCTTGCGTTCCATCCGTATGCCAACTGTATTCACCATAGCCCTCTTTTCGTGGACTTGATGTGTTAAATTCTTCTTTGCAACGACTGAAGATTATATTTTATGAACTGTCATCAATAACAACCCCGGGTTAAATACGATACAGTAATGCATCTCTGACCACTTTTAAATGAGGGAATGACTTAGGCAACTGTTACAGCAAATGTTACAGCCGAGTAGTAAGACGAAAAGTAAACGTGAGACAGTCAACTGAAATAAGGACTCTCAACGTCTCAAGCAGGGGCTGTTACAGTAAAGAATCTATCCTCAAAGCGGTCGCAAGGCTGTTGTAACAGGCTTCAGGAATGTCAAACAACCCAGCCGGCGGTGCTTACTAGTCGCTGCTTGCAGTTGACTTACCTGAGAATAATTAAAGAGAGATTACAACAATTTCAAAGACATACATTGATCATTTACAAAACATACCGTCAATCCATATTAACCGAGACCCTTACTAGTATGTTTTTCTGTCGTTTGCATTGAATAATTTCCGACTTACACGGCCATGTTCATGTTGAGCTAGTTAAACGGCATTTCGGTCAATTCTGTGTGATATCGCGAAATATAATAGACAGATTTTAATTACGAAAGCCTTTGTAATTTTGTTTACCGTGAGAAATGTGAATATTAGACCTTAAGATTGCATTGGTTAGCTTCTGTTTAGAAGTAGAACTTCAGTTAAAAAAGGTGATTTCATGTGTAAAATGCAAGCAAATAAAAATAAGAATTGGCAGGTATTGGATTTCACCACGATACACCAGAGGAATATAATTTTTTTATTAGTAATTCAATTGCTCAATAGGTCAAATGGTAATAGGTCAATACATTTGTGGTTAATTATGGCAGATTTAGGCATATATGAAGTCTATTAATCGACTACTGCGTCATGTAAAGTTACAGGGGCTGCCACATCTAACAGACAATTGGGAAACTTAAAATTTGGACAGGTTTGTGAAATTTAAAACAGATTTTATCACTCAAAAAAATTACACCTGCAATTTTAAGTAATTTTAAGCAATTTTCTGTTGTTACCCACTTTATTCCTTCAAACAACTTTGTACAACATACATGTGTTGTGACATCGACTACATTGTTTTCATTTTCTCTTATTTTCCACATTTTTTATTGTTTATTTCCTAATATCGTATTATTGTTATCGTCATTGTATTTGTGTCCATTCATTTATTTATTTACTTATTTATTATCACAAAATGCGAGCTATGGTGACTGTTATATATATTTTTTTCATTATAAGAAAGAGAAATAGGCAGATTACAAGCAAAAATTTAATAAATACCCGATAAATGAATAAAACATGCCATGCAATTTATACAAATTTATGCCACATGATACTGCAGACGTATAAAATCTATCTTCACATTGTGTTATTGCTGCAGCAATGATGCTCAAACAGCCTTGCTGGTTTGAAAAACGGGAAAACAATATCTCAATTACATTCTGTGTGAATGAAGTTAATGAAACTTTTCTGACACATCTAAAATGTACACACGCGTATGCAGCCTCTAAGCAAATATTGTGTGCTTCATAACACAGACCTACGCCTGAGAATGATAGAAATGGAGTTGAAAATTGTAAAATACAATTCAAAGTGCGACGCAATCTAAAAACGGCTCAACCAACCATAAACAGCCAATGCGTAAGAATGTGATTGCGTTCAACTGTCACACCTACCACAATCTATGTTACAACAAAGAATAGTAAATGACCATTTATCACAAACTAATAAGTACGATACTCACAGTCGCAACAACAACTCAACCACTGGCGGCAGGAGCAACGTCTGAGCAGACTGAAGAAAATGCCAGATTGACACTGAAACGTGTTTCTGAGAATTGTGAAAATATTAGTTTAGGACAAAAAAAAAATCTGTTACCTTAATAACATTATCAGACCGATGTGCACCAATTTCAAAAATCGAAGTTACAGTCGTAAGATCACTTTAATGGTGAGGCCATGCTAAGAAGGCAGTTTTTAAGGGAAGAGGGAAGGACAGGAGTAAAAAAGTAAAAAAGTAGGCTTAAAACTCTGCCTGCTTCCACATCTAAACGATAATGCAGGAGCGGATCCAGGATTATTCGAAGGGGGTCCGAGGATGCCATGTCGATCTCCCCCAAATTCCTCCCCTCCCCCACCCACTCAGCGTGGGGTGCGGGGCCACTGAAGGTTTTGGGTTTTGTGGGTTTTGTGGTTAATATGGGCATTGGTGGGCAATATGGGCATTAGTGCTAAAAAATGTGCGGGTAGTGTTAGTAAACGCTTAATCCGTTTATAGGGCCTGTATTTGACTCTCCTGCATACACCAATATAGCATTTATATCACTAGTGCCTCTGTCCCAGTTACATGTGACATTTATGCTAAATACCCGATGCCCCTTGAAACTTGTAAGCTACATGTACTGTCTAAAATGAACTCAATTCCCTAGAGAAATCCCCTTATGTGTCCTTATAAAGTTTTTTACCTTTTGCCTACCCGGTGTTTCTATGTGGTAAATCTGATATGAATGTTTTCAATAAAGCTCACTGTAAGCTTCTCATACTGGAAAGAACGGTTTCAATGCCGTGCGGTCGACATTGAATGTCTTCTGAGAATAGAAAAACGAAGATGTTGAGGATCATCATTTTCATTTAGAGCAATATAGTCTCCGATCAATTTTAATCTAAGCGTTTTTCAAAAAAAGCAGATGATTCAATGTTTAAAATCACTATCCTCTCAAAGACATGCCTTTAAAAGAAACCTGATCGTGTCAGATGAAGTATTATAAAAGACTATTAATTGCAATCAGTTGTAACAGAACAGCCCATTGATGCGGTAAGATGTATTGAGAATGGCTTCCTTGTCATAAATAAAACCTCTTACCAATGCATCCGAGTCGATCATCTTTTATAATTGTGACTGTTCCAGTGGCAGATTTATGGGGGGGTGTTCATGCAGTTTTATTTAGGTAATTTTCATAAGCAGTGTTTGGATTACGTTGTTTTAACGATACTGGTAATGCCCCTATGTGTTTTTGAACCATTATTCTTTGAAGTACTTAGTGACGATAAAAAGCACAGTATTCGTGTCAGTTGGGAAGAAAACCTACAGTGGTGCAGTGATGTAACCGGTTAGTGACGAATCAAGGTAAAACACGTTGACGCGTACCACACTGCCCAGTTCACATTTAGAAAATCATGAGTTGCTTTCTGAGCGCTCCTGTTTCGACCTAAATTCTATCCTCTAGACCATAAGCTACACATGTGTTTATGCCCTGTCTTGAGAAAATACTCATAATCAGTCCACTTTCTCTCTACCTTCAACTAGTTCGGTTCCGGCGCGTGCTTGATAAGGTCAAGACAACCAGTGTAAACCCGTTGAATTCCCACGCCTTGTGCCAGCGAGCCACGATTTACGACATCAAGATAATAACTTCATGTGCAAATTCCCACTTCAAGCCAGCTGCCAGCGCGGAAATACAGAAACACGGCTGTTTCTCAAGTGGCGTGTTTTACGGTGCATTCTCGGTCGTAGAGCTCGCTAGTTGTAGTCAGAGAAGAAAAGATACCTTCAAGCATTGCGGACTGTCGGTTGACGAAAAGATCAAGGGGTATCTACCCATATCGATCCTTGTGATGACAAATGACGAGGACATTTTGTAAAAGCTGAATGAGGTCACGGTAAGTAAAAAAATATAATGATTATCAAACTGAAGTTTATAAAATGTGGAACGACGCACTGAAAGTGTTAATTTCACGTATTTTTCATTGACAAAATCAAATGCGTGCAGTCCATTTGAATCTGGTCCGAGAGGAGAATTTAATGAGTACAATGGCGCAGGGAAAGGTGAGGTTAACGTAAATATGTACATTTATTCCGTAAACATTTTGACTCGTAAAATAGGCATGCTTTATTAAGTTCCAGTCTTATCATGAAGATAATTTATTATGTAGTTTATTCACTAGATATGGCACTGTGAACGATAATACCTTAAGGGAAAGCATGTTCAGTGCACAAAAATAATCCCCAGACTTGTAGATGTTAACTGAACAAACAGTTACTCGCCGTTTCATGTACATGTAGTTTCGCCAATGTTACTGAATTAATGCTATGTGTCGTTTCAACATGTTATCGGAGAAATCAGATATTGGTGATTATTCGTTTAATAAGGCCATCTTGCCTAACCTAACTTAATTCCCCTAAGACGCACTAGTGATGAGATCTTGTGAATCAGAAGCTATGGTATCAACGAGCTTCTCATTTAATAGCCAGTGCGGGTACCAGTTGGTGCTGGTCCTTTATACACTAGGCTATCTTTGTGTTTGCTACTTTGCTGTCTCTGAAAAGCAGATAATATATTAAACGAAACACGGGCGATACATGTAGCATACAGCAAGAATTTTAAAATTCATTCCAATCCATTTGCAACAAACAATTCTATTCGTCTAAATCTGGTAGGTGATATGATACTTCAGAAACTTTTTAAAAAATGCTCGTTTTGTCACCGGCCCCGGAAAATTGGTAAATGTAAAAATGCCACTTAAAATCTAACTCGGCAGCAAAGCTTTTTTTCTTTTATCTAAATAAAGGGTAATGTGCTTAGTCCTCCATTAAGCGATTACCACATGAATCAAAGAGTAAATTTCATTTGCAGCTTTATGGCTGAGGATTGAATTTTTCATAGAGGATTGAATTGTCGAACTGTTTTTACTATTGCCGAGAAAAGGATAAGGATAGTACACCAAATGCATGTAGAATTATCCTTGATATATACATGTAAGTATAAAAAGTGACTGATCCCTTTTCAAGATAATAATTTAATGCCTGGAAGGTTACATAAACTAATCAAGCCAATTAAATAAATGCTACATAGCAATGATTTATTGAAAGTAAACGCATTAAGGTAGGCGTTGTTGATTAAGAGGCCAACATTTACTCATAATGGCATAACGATGAAGTGGCCCTCAGATAGAACTGCACAGTTGTCCTGAAATGTTCTGATAGAAAATCTCGTCTGGGTGTCAATCCACAGTTGTTCAAAAGACATGCGAGACACACTCAGTGGAAAACGGAAGCATTAGAAGTTCAGTTGCAATTAAATACTCAAGGCACTGTCTTGTTAGTTTCCCGATGCTCTCGTTGCCTTAGATATGGCCTGCCCATTTCACATTTCAGTATAATCCATTTGCGTGATTTGTTGACGTCACGGTAAACACGTGACTTGAGGCCCTGGAAACACACGGGCTTTCTAAAAATGAAGGGTGCCGAAGACACTTTTTTTTTTTTTGGGGGGGGGGAGAGAGAGAGAGAGAGAGCTTTAGTGACGACATTGCTTGTTTCCTTTAAGAAAGACACTGCTGCTTTCAACATGGAAGTCAAAATCGATATACTGATAATGGAAATGCCTGGAAGGTTACATATTGGATATGTTATTTTGCACTTCTCTTATATTTGTTTTTCCCTCTAAAAAGATTTCATTATATAACTGACGAGATTCGTGACGTGTGCACTCGGTGACCGATGTTCTGATATTATAACTTTAAATTGAATTACGGTGCACTGTAAACCTAGACTGGGAACAGATATTCATGCCAATAACCAAATCATAAAAGCAGAAAAGCATCAGTCAGTTGTTTTATTCCCATAATGGTATTTTTTTATACTACAGTCATACTGAAGTTCATCCATTACGCAAAGAGCTGAATACAAAAAATGCCATTTAACTGAAATCGATTTGCATGGCTGAATTAACAAACGTATTTTCAATTTCCTCTTATATCTAAACCAAATGCAACTTTGTTTTATTAAACAGATGAAATGCTCTTTTGTTGTCTATAAAGATTAATGGTGTCACGTTGCAAACCGAACAGAATTATACCAACGTTTATACACATGCCACTATTGTGAACAGAGACACGACTAGCTGGAGGAAACAAAAAGCATATCCTAGTAAATAGAAAACAGGAGTCTCTGTGAAACCAGCGAAATCTCAATGTAATCTTCTCGAAAAATTGATACAATTTTCGAGCATCAAAGCAGCCGCCGGGGAACTTTGGGGTTTTTTTTGTCTCCAAATGCCTGTTATACCATACAGAATGCAAACGGATAAAGCTGTCCAAAGAAACAAATGGCATTTTTGTTTGGCAGGGTTTTGTAAACCATTAGTAAATTTGGATCCAGGGCTTTTGTAACGTTGTACAGGTGTAACAGAGTCTAACAGAGAATTAAAATTTCCTCTTGTGGTTTCTGGTTTGTAGTTACTGGTATACCGTGTATCTCTAGGGCGTTCCATTAAGAAAAAGATAGAGAGAAAGCAAATGCGATCATGATTTCATTTTAAGACACGCACACGCATGTTGCTATTTTGCTTATATTGAGCCAGTGATCTCGACTTCTGCGTGTCTATTTGGTCACCACTAAACGAAAGTCACTGTTATTCATTGTCACCACTCGAACTTCGAGCCTTATAAAATCATTTTGATACAAGTACGATTATTAATGGCATTTAATTGATTTTTCCACGATCCACAGGGACTGTGTCCTTTTAAAGTGCTCTCTTCAGCGTGTCTGAGTTCTGGAAAAGGGCAATACTAACGCTTTCTGATAGAAATAATTGGTACGCAGAATTTAATATTTCGTGTTCTGAACTGTATAAATACACTATTACGGTCTGTTTCGCGCTTACACTTAGGCTCTATTCCCATAGATTTTAGATCGATCTATCCCCGCGGGGAGTCTCACTAGAATACTTTCAGATAATCCGACTTAAATGTCCGTCCCGCCTACTACAAGCTGTAAGGGGATAATTAACTTTCGTGTCCGCCCGGCTGACAGCTATTAAGCGTGAACCCCCAGGGAGTTAGGTCGATCTAAAGTAGGTCGATCTAATCTATGGAAATGGGGTGTAAATCTACGAAGTGCACAGATGGACAACCAGCATGAAAAGATCGTTGTATGCGATTTATTTCACTGATGCCACCATTGTGGTGAACCTTTCAGAATATTCCTGAATATTTCAACACGTCTTTGTGTACTTTTTTAAAGCTAGACAATGCAATTAAGAGCTCCATCTATATTTCACAAAGCACACGTGTTTTCCATTGTTTTCTGTTAGTGCTTTTTTTACCCCACACTTAAAATTTCATGATTTAAGCTCCTTCCTGATTTTTATATCTCTTTTTTTATTTTTGATGTTATTCGTATTATGCTCGACACAGGTTTATAATAAAGCATTTTATGTGTCTCTTTGTTATTTCGTTAGAAATTATTGATTTTTGACGGCCACCAACCTGATGTTATTTTACTTTCGCTACCCTTTACAAATTAAGGTAATTCTGGC